TTCCACAAGGAGGAGGCGAGTCGCGCGGGCTGCCACGCACGCATCGTTTGCGAGACGCGGAGGTAGGAAACAGTGGTCCGGGTATGAGTGGCGGGGATGGGGCTGCTGGGGTCGGTGCGGTCCCTGTTGGGGGGTGGATGTTGAAGGGAGCCTTAGAGTGCCGTCCCTGCGCCGGCCCCTAGGGGCGTACTTCCCGCATCCACCCAAGGGCAAGTTCAGATCAAGAGCCAGTTCCTCAAAGGAGCCTTGGTAAGAAATGAAGAGGAGGCCATAAATGCCACTAGGTTTACAGACATGGGATCCTTATCTTGGCTTACCTGGAGACTAGATAGTTTGACTTGCATGATTCAGCACCCCGGGACTCCTTACTCACGTCAGCCCTTACTGGGGATTCCTGCCCAACCCCAGTTTTCAGATCTTCTATTTCAACACTTAGTGCAACAACACACATACAAATGTCCACACACCTTCTTCAAGAGAAGAGGCTGGGACAGGAGCTCCTGACAGGGTCCCCATAGCCAGCTAGAGCTGTAAACTTTGAATGGGACCAACCCCAACCAGAGAAACAAAATACCACATTCTAGTAGCTGTGTGTCATCAACCAGAACTTGTGGCAACTCCAGCCATGTCAACCATTCCCCCTTTGTAGGGAATTCGTAGTCTTTCTGGGTTCCAGAAGATGGGGGAGGTGGGCAGAAGGAGGCTACAAGAGGGGCCACAGAGCACTAAGAAAGCATGTGACAACTTTGAATACTAAAGACCAACTGTACCAGGCTAAATTTTCTTAAAGATGTATAACTTTATTTCCTGCCCACCCCTCATACACACACAGGAACCCCACTTCAACCTGAGATAGGTAAAGTTTAGATAACTGTCTGAAACACAACTGAGCATTAGAAATGTTTCAGTATTTTAAAGGAGTTCAGAAAGGGGAAAAAGTGACCCTTACTTCTCCAGGCCAGGGAGGAAGGAAGACCCGAGTGTGGGGATTGGCCCAGCCCATTGAGAAAGCACCTCAGTTTTGTCACTGGGGCCTCTAATTGAGGGCTTCTGTGTCCAGTTCTCTATGTTACTGAGAACTAGTTACTTCTTGTGTCTATATTTCTGTGTACATGAAATTATAGGTGTATGTCTAACTGTATCTTGTCTTATTTATATCGGTGTCCATTGTGTATATCTGCCAGTCATGGTGGTGAGCGAGGGGAGAACTGAGTGAAGACTGACAAGAGATTTTTCTCAGGTTGGAGGAAATTCTACTTGCAGAGCCTCTTTGGCAAGCCAAGGAGGAAAATGTTCCAGAGGGAAACTACAAGCTTTGTAGGAAGAGCAGGATGGCTGGGCACAGGGACTTTTCATTTCAGTCCCACCACTTCATGCAGGAAGCCTATTACCTTCATAAATTAAAACTAATTTGGGGTCAGGGTCATCCAAAATTAACTTTAGATTAGGGGATGCAGATTAAGGAAAACCTAATTCATTAAGTTAAGTAAGAAGAAATTAAAGAAGGTGAATTTTATCCACCAACTATCTTTTTTCTTTAGTCATCTTTAATAAATATTCTGGAGAATTGAAATAAGTTAACATTGTTCTTTTGTACTTAGAGAGACTTTTGTTAGTGTTTTTTTGAAGCATGATATTAATAGAGATGAGCCATTCTTGTAAAATATTTTATAAACTCCCATTAAAATATATGTAGGAATAATGCTAACATATAACGCTAACCCAAATACATTACACTTTATTTGCTTATATTGCAAATGTTTGTTTTTGGAAATTCGGCATATAAAATATATTCATAGTATCAGGAAACTTGCTTTATCTTCCTACCTTATTACCCAAGATGTTTTACATTTTATAGACTTTTCTTAAAAATAGAGCCTTCTATCACAATTGTAATGGCTTCAGTCTAGGTGTCATATATAAAATATTCTTAAGCCAATAAATAAAATAAGTAGCATATCACATTTTATAAAAGATAACTTAATCCACAAGTTCTTAATAATTTATCTTCAGCTAGAGTTGAAATGTATGTTTCAGATTTGATTAAACATGACCACTCATGCTTTGGATTCCAACTACTAGAAGAGGCTCTCTCAAAATTTTGTGAAAGCACTAAAAATGGACAGGGTTGGTCAAATCCCTTCCTGCCCAATCTTAGCCCTATATTGGTGACAATGTTGAATGACAGTTTAATACCTTCTAGAGCTCCCTCTTGTGTGTGAAATAGAAGATGCCACCTCCAGGGAGAGGAAGTCACTCGTTCATATATTCGTTCATTCACCCCACAGACTGAGTAGTATATGCTACATGCTGGGAATGCAAAGATGGAGATTAGAAGCTAATGGGAAGACCGATGTTCAAACAATTACAATAGGGTGTAATTACTGTAATCATAGAGGTGTATTCAAAATGTAATCAGATTATTAGAGGTGGGAACATCTACATTGGCCCAATAGTGTCAGAGGAAACTTCACAGAGGAAGTAACACAAGCTGAGACTTGAAGGGTGAAAAGGAGTTTGCTAAAGGGTAAGAGCATTCCAGGCAGAGGAAAAAGCAAATACAAAGGCATGAAGACTTGAAAGAGCATGTCAGATTCAGGAAGAGGCCAATAATTCAGTATGTCTGGAGGTTAGGCTGCGCCAAAGACAGAGATGCGATGAGAGGTGAGATCAGATTACAGAGGACTTCATATGGGATTGTGAGATTGTGATTGAAGTCTAATCTCTGCTCTCCCAGAGCAAAGAAGTAAAAGGATTATATTTGCTTGCTAGGAAAAAAAATGTTCTGGCACCAGGCAAGATGATATGAGGCTGAACTAGGGCAGTAGAGAAGGAAATGCATGGATGGTTTCAAGAAATGTTTAGGAGGTAAGATGCTCCAGCTTTCTGATTTATTTTATTGATACAGTGGTGATGCCACCAAAGAGACAAAACAGAATAAAAAGTAGAGCAGAGACAGTGAATTCAGCGTGGGACCTGTTAAATCTGAGGCATCCATGTGAAAGCCAAGTGAAAATGTCAACAGGGTAATTGGACCTTTTGTGTTTGGAGCCCTGGTAAGAGGTCTACCTGGGGACATATATTTGAGATGCATCAGCCACAGGAATAAATGAGTTTGCTTAGGGCATCATGAAGAGTGCTAGAATAAAAAACCGAGACAGACTCTTGGGAAACAGAAACATTTCAGAAGGACTGGCCAAGGAGCCACAGAAGGAATGGCCAAAAGTAGGAGACCCCAGGAGAGCATGGTGTTATGGAGGTCTAAGGAGGACAAGAAAGAGGGAAACTTCCACATGCCAAATACCACAGGGAGGTCAAGAAGGATGGGAAGTGAAAACTTCCCTTTGGATTTAGCCTGTGGTAACCTAATGGAGAAGTTGGAGAGTTCTTGGAGAGAGAAGCCAGACTGCAATGGGTTGAGGAGATGAAGCAGTGAAAACACCAACATAGTCTGTTCTTCCAGAAAGCGTGGCTGTGAAGAGGGGAGAGTGGGATAAGACAGTAGCTGGAGGGGACTAAGAAGGTCAAGGGAGAGAGTCTTGTGCTTGTGTTCCTTTGTGTTCCTAAGATGGGAGAAATTTACACATATCCCTGGAAGAAGGAGCCAGCAGGGAAAGAGAAGCTGAAAAATTGTAAAGAGAAAGGGCATGGTTAATAAGAAAGGTGGTAATGAAGGCAGGCAGGATTGGACTGAGAGCCCAGGAGGAAAAGAGATACCTGTTCCTCTGGAATGGAAGAATTGAAGAGTTAAACAAACAAACAAACAAACAAACAAACAAACTTCATATGAAAACTGAGACTCAGAGGTTGTGTGACTTGTCCAAAATACAGGATTAAAAGAAAACTGTCACTTTGTCTTTTTGCCTGACACTATGCTACATCAGAGACAGCATAGGAGGTGGCCAGCCGAGGAAGAGAGTGGAAGGCTGGGAGCCACAAAGTATTAAAGAAGAATCGCAGAATTTAGAAATAGAGTGGAGCTGGAGAGCATCATAAACAAATGTAGATGAGCATCATAAACAAGGGCCAGGGAGGTTGTCATTTGACTGCCCAATGTTTTAAAGTTAGTGAGGAATAGAACTGGACCCAGAACTGATTCTAGCCCAGGGTTCCCTCCAAGAAGGATTGTATAAAGAGATAAATGGAGCAATAAAATGTCCCCTTTTTCCCATCTATTGAAGTGGCAGAGGCTGAAATCAGACACAGAGCTGCACAACTCCAAACTTATTCTTTCACTACATCGCTTAACAAGACACTACCGGGTCAGACTATAAATAATGGAGCCTCCCAGGCAAACCAAGGCTCCAGTACAGATCACACACAGGGATATTGGCAGAGCTGGGATCATTGACTGTAAGATAAAGTGAACTCAGTTTAGTTTGTTTATTCTGGAGCTGCCAGAGCAGGAGCCAGGGTGCTGGAGAAAGCTGGACAGACCAGTGCGAGCCGTGCCAGGCCTGGGAATCAGCCCTCTGATGATGTAGTTGGATTAGATACTTAGCAATGCTTTCTGGCCTTTGTTTCTTTGGGGACTGAGAAGGAAAGCCAACTTTTTGTAATCTATGCCATCTTTCACCCTTATGCCTTCACTTGATAGTAAACATAGATCTTTTTATGTCCTGTGATCTGTCTGATTGTGCTGGAGGCCTGAGAGAGATAAAAGAGAATTATATTTCTTAACACAGTCCCAGAGGGAGCAGAGAACGCTTGAGGGTAGTTGGGTCCCTGATTTAGGGGACCTGCAGGTTAGGAAAGGAGCATGGGGCAACAGAGACTGATCAGACCAAGACCCTTGTGCCCTCACAGTGGAAACAAAGGGAGATGAATGGCAGAGGGGCGGAGGAATGGCAGTAGCAGTAGCGTCTGGTGAGCTCCAGAGTTGAGCGACCTGGGCTAGTTTATCCTCTGCTGTATCTCCAGCACCAAGAACAGTGCCTGGCACATAGACATACATGCCTGTTGTCCTACAGCATACACCTCCCCTGCACAACCCTGGCAAAATGGCTTCGTTGGGACACACATTCCCCTTCTATGTGGGCCGCAAGCCGATCTTCCCAATGGACACCACCTTGGCCGTCATCGTTGCCATCTTTGTGACTGCACTGGTCACCTTCATCATCATCCTGCCTGGCATTCGGGGCAAGATGGTGAGAAACAATCCCAGCCCTGGAGACCCCAGCCCCAGAGAGATCTTGGCCTCAAGGTGAGGGGGCCAGACTCTCTGACTACAACCAGACTCAGGAAAGAGACTTCAGTCCTGAGAAAGTGTCACCCACCCCCACCCCCAGGAGGGAGTTTCCTACTAATTTATTCAATGGATAATTATTGAGCACCTATTACACGCCAGACACTCTGATCACAATTGGCCAAGTGACCCCAGTTTTAGAACCCCCCCCCCACACACCCAAGTCTGGAAAGAGAAAGGGTGGATTTGGAAGGAGGGTGTTCGTCCCTAACCCCACCTACCCTGTGACTCAGAGGCTGTTCTGGCTGCTGCGGGTGGTGACCAGCTTATTCATCGGGGCTGTGATCCTGGGTGAGTATAATCCTGGTCAATTGCCTCTGTCCCATCTAGTTCCCTCTGCAGCCAGCCTCTCCTCTCCCTGTTACCTCATGGCATCTTCTGCTTCAGGGGAGGGAGGGGTGGGAGGGCCGTAAGCAGAGTGTCACCAAAGGAAATCTTGGGTTCTGACCCTTTGTTCATCTTGGGCAAACATACTATTGACAAACTAACCGTGATTCAGACCCTGATCTAGTTAACGGATATTTAATTATGAGCAAAACAGACTTAGACCCCTTGTAGCTCTCCTTCTGACTCTAACCCAGTAATGCCTGGACCTTACTGAGTCCCCACATGTCCACCTCTCCAACCCCAGCTGTGAATTTCAGTTCTGAGTGGTTTGTCGGCCAGGTCAGCACCAACACATCATACAAGGCCTTCAGTTCCGAATGGATCAGCGCTGATGTGGGGCTGCAGGTTGGTCTGGGAGGAGTCAACATTACACTCACAGGTGAGGGATGGCTCTAACCTGGGAGGGAGGAGAAGATTCTTCTGTGTCTTTGGGATCTAATTTGGATCTACAGGATGGGGGGGGGGGGTGGTAGGAAGGGAAATTTCCAGAGACTGAGACCAGCTCCTGTCCCTCTGCCCAATGTGATGAGCCCCTACCCAGGCAAATGTCCACTCTGGTCCTGGGGTTCCTGCTGAGCACACCTGCCCCATTCCCCAGGGACCCCAGTGCAGCAGCTGAATGAGACCATCAATTACAATGAGAAGTTCACCTGGCAGCTGGGTGAAAACTATGCCAAGGAGTACACAAAGGCACTGGAGAAAGGGCTGCCGGACCCCGTGCTCTACCTGGCTGAGAAGTTCACCCCGAACAGCCCATGTGGTCTACATGGCCAGTACCGCCTGGCGGGACACTACACCTCAGCCATGCTCTGGTGAGGGTGGGATGGAGGCCCTGCTGGCCTAGATCCGGGAATGGAGTTTCTACCCATCTTTCCTTCACTTATGTGGAAATCCCTGGTGGGACAGGGTGGCACCAGCCCCATAGTGCTTGGTTGGGAAACCTATAGGCAGAAATCCCTATCTCCCATCTTTGGGGTATGCTTGACTCCCTGAGCCTCCACCTGGGCCCTTCCAAGTAGAGGTGTCCAGGCCAGCCTTCAACGGGTCCTGGCTCTCCAGGGTGGCCTTCCTTTGCTGGTTGCTGGCCAACGTGATGCTATGCATGCCCGTGCTGGTCTATGGTGGCCACATGGTGCTGGCCACAGGCGTCTTCCAGCTGTTGGGACTGCTCTTCTTCTCCATGGCCACGTCACTCACATCACCCTGTGCCCTGCGCCTGGGTACTGCTACGCTGCACACTCACCATGGGCCTGCCTTCTGGCTCACACTGACCACAGGTGAGGTGCAGCCCTGAAGACCAGACACTGGAGGGCTTAATGCCAGGGAGGGAGGGCCAGGGACCACCATATTGGTGGGGGTTGAGGGTCTGCCTCTGGGGGCCAGGATGCCTTTCCTCTCGTTAAAGCCCCATCTCTCTTACATCACTCATCTCTGGGTTTTCTCTCCCCATTTTGACCCCCTTCCCCTCCATAGATGCTTACTCCCTGTGTCTTCTGTCTCTGTCACTTCCCTCAGCCCCTCACTCTATCTTCACCCAGCTCTTTCCCAAATCTTCCAGTCTTATGTCCCTGCTCACTTCCACCAAACACTCTTCTCTGTGTCCTCCATCCTTCTCTTCCCCTGCCTCACATAGTCCTAAATTGTCCTGTGATTTCTTCTCTTCTCCTCTTCTCTCATGCCCTTTCTCATGCCTCCTCCTCTGTGCTTGGCCTTTCCCCCAGGGTTCTCTGTTTTCAGAGTTCTCTCTCTTTTGAGATGTAATGCAAAGAGCACTGGGCTTAGAGTCTCAAACTCAGAACAACAGAGCCACACCAGCCATATGACCCTAAGTCAGTCACTGCTCTGAGCCCAAGTTGCCCTGAAACAGGGACTCCAGCAATTCTCTTAGAGTTGTTCTGATGCTCTTGGGAGAGGATATCCTTGGGAGGGCATTACTATCACCAAGGCAGGACACCTGTTGTCTCATCCCCAGGACTGCTTTGTATGCTACTCGGCCTGGCCATGGCAGTGGCCCACAAGGTGCAGCCCCAGAGGCTGAAGGCTTTCTTCAACCAGAATACAGGCGAGGATCCTGCGCTGGAGTGGAATCCTGAGGAAGGGGGACTCCTGAGCCCACGATACCGGTCCACAGCTGAGAGTCCTGAGCCCCAGGACATTCCTCTGTCAGAAGCTTACTCGGAGGCATGCTGTAAGGAGGAGCATCACAGAGAGCCTGACTGTGCCCTATAAGGTTCTTCTCCCTGGTGGACACCTGGACTTCCAGTCTGGTTGCAGATATCATTGGAGCCCCATCAACCTACCAGAACTGACTGCAGGATGGGTTATATCCGATCTGTCCCCAGCCCCAATCTGTAGGTGGAGTCAGAAAAAGAGCCTCTTCCTACTGGTGTAAAAACAAAAACAAACAAAAAGCCCTAATATGCTAAACAGACATTGGGGCTGCCTATAAATCCTGTCTCCATGTTAAAAGCAAGCAGGTGCTGTCCATTTCTGCACAGCAACCCTGTCTTCCCTTGATGCCCTGCCTCTTTGAGGGGCCATTTATTGAAACTTTGCTTCATCTACATAGTGTGTGTGTGTGTGTGTGTGTGTGTGTGTGTGTGTGTGTGTGGTGGTATTACAATGTGGTTCCCATGTAGTCCCCCTCATCCCTCTGTACCTCTTATTTTCCTTTTACCTGGGTCCCTTTTGCCCTTCTTTTACTTGTGTGATCTCTTGGTACAATGAAAGCCCTGGGCAGCAGAAGAAACCAAACTGCTTGTCCCAGGTCTAATATTAACCGAATGTGCTACATTATCTTTAAGCTTCACGTCTCAAATTTGCCAAATAAGATTATAGGTCTTGCCAAGGACCTAAAAAAAAAAAAAAAAATCCCAGGATTTACATTTTAATGCCTTGCTGACATCTACCTTGGCCCTTGGACACTACCTCTTAGTGAATAAACTGGTTAGCAAATGACCTCAGAAATGCCATTCCCTCCTAGTCCACTCAGCTGAGCCAGCAGAGGGAGATAAAATGGGAAGGCGACCTGTCTGGTCACTGCTACTTGCCATCCGCCTTGGGGCAGCTCAGGAAGACGCCGGCTCAGGCGGGTTCCCCTTTGGGCTCACTAGAGGGCGCCCCTCTCACAGAGCCTTGTGGCAAGGCAGAGAAAATGCAGCGGGCTGTTTCCAACTCAGAGAAATCTGCCGAGGACGTATATCCCCCAAGCCTGGAAAAGCCATGGAATGTAATGGAAACAAGTTTTTGTTTTTTTTTTTTTTAAAAGGAAAAAATTTATTTACATCTCACCCTGGGAAACCTTTCCCCGGGCGCAGGCATGCGGCACGTCTGAGGCCGCCTGCTTTTCCCGGCGCCTGCGGCGCAGTGACCCTCCAGAGCTCCCCTGGCCGGAGCCCAGCAGGTATTGCTATCCGGCCTGCAGGGAGCAGAGGCCGGGTAGGAGTCCGAGGTTGAATACCCCTCAAAGGTTAGTGCTGGTCGTTAAGTCCAGGGCTCCGAAATGCTTATGCAGTGGGTTGCTCAGGATGAGAGGCAAGTTCCCTTTCGCCTGGCTACCGTAGTCCTTGACACTTAGGTCCAAGAAGGTGCGAAGAGCGCGGGGTCGAGAGTAGTGGAGACTCACCACCGCCCCTCCGAGGAGGAGGCACAGGACGCCTGCGGCGGCGCGGACAGAAAGAAACGGTAGTCAGGGCTCTAGGCCAGAGTCTGGCCTGCCCCCTACAACGCTTGGGGGCTACCCCTTTCATTTCCTCCCCCCATGCACACGGCAGAAAGACCTCTAATATGGATTACGTGATACATGAGTTCATGCGCTAACTGGGGCAAACCCCCCAGCCCTTCAGAGCCCCCTGCCTCATCTGTAAAATGGGCATAATTGCCTGTTTCTAGGAACTATTAAGATATATTAGATAATATATGTGAACTCATTCTGTAAACGGGAGACGAACACATCAGCATAAATCCCGCCCCCACCCCCAGCCTCCCGGAATCGATCCCCTTGGTCCTTACCGGTGGCCAGGGTGACCCAAAAGGCGGCCCCGTAGTGAGTGGTGAGCATGGAGGAGCCCAGGCGGAGCGGGCAGAGAGGCACGCTGGAGATGGAGGCGAAGGCGAAGATGGAGAAGAGCGTGAAGGCGCCGGTGGTTAGGAGAGCGAGGCCGCCGTAAAGCGGGACCGGCATGGAGAGCAGCACGTTGGAGAGGAGCCAGAAGCAGAACGCCGCCCTGCGGAGGGGACCCGCAGCGCAGTGAGCTGGCTTCCCCCAGCCCCGCTTGCTCTGTGTCCCTACCACAGTACGAAAGGCGGGGCTGGGATGGCGAAGGCGCAGGGGAACCCTCCCGGGGAGTAACCGACTCCCAGCCTTTGCTGGGTCTCTCTGGGTTTCGACGGTCTGTGCGGACCTCAAGACTTTCCGACCCGAGAGGCGGTAATTCTCACGGCCGGGGCAGTGGGGCTGTAGCTGCTCACATCCTGTGCTCACATAGACCTCACATCCTCCGGCCCCGCCCCGACACTCCCTCCCTCCCACGTGCCTTCCCTCCAGCGCTCACCACAGCGTGGCGGAGCCGTAGTGTCCCGCCAGGCGGTACTGGCGGTAGAGCCCGCAGGGACTGCTTGGCGTGAACTTCTCCGCCAAGTAGAGAACAGGATCGGGCAGCCCCTTCTCCAGGGCCTCCGAGTACTGCTCGGCATAGTTCTCACCCAGACGCCAATTGAAGTGCTCATTGTAGTCTATGGTCTCATTCAGCTGCTGCACTGGGGTCCCTGCGACGGGAGGCCGAGGGCGACCGGGGTCATGGAGCTGCGCACAACCCGGGACGCCGCAACTAAGCTAGTACGTGTCGGAAAGGGGAGGTGTGAGAGAAATAAATGGGTTTGGCAGCTGTGGGGGGAAACTCGGATCCACGAGGGCTAAAAACTATTCGAGCCTGTGGGGTCTGAGATTTCCTCCAGCTGCCCCTGCCACACTCCCCCAGCCATGGGGTCTGCCAATCCAGAAGTTCACTTTGACCCAGCCCCCTCACCTGTGAGCGTAATATTAATTCCCTCCAGGCCAACGTGGAGACCAATGTGAGCGCTGACTCGTGCTGCGCTGAAGGCCTTGTAGGATGTGTTGGTGTTCATCCCACCCACTGACCATTGTGCGCTAAAGTGCACGGCTGTGGGGAGAGACACCAGTGTCGGAGGGGACGGTTAGGGAGAGGATTGGGGAGATGGAATGAGGGGAGTGGTCACGGCAGGTAGGACATTGTGCAGAGAGATGGTATGCATGGTAAGGGTGGAAGAGTGGGCACTAGAATGAGCTGAAGAACGGAAAGAGGGTGCAGCAAACAGACCCCAAATCTCCATTTTCCCGGGTGCCCTCCATCCACCTCCATCCTCACCCCAGGTCCTCTCCCCATCTGTGGCACCACACACTCACCCACAATTTCCGCGCCTATGAACAGACTGAGAAGAACTCTCACCAGCCAGAACCAGCGCTGGAGGAACAGGCACCTGGGTCAGGCCTGGTAACTGCCACCAGAGTCCCCAAGACCTCCCTTGACCCCATGCCACCTAGAGCTTTAGTGACCCTGCAACTGTCCCTTCTTGCCCCATACTCTTTTCCCACTTATATTCCTGATGTTTTAAAGCTAAAGTCAGTCTTGCTTTTTGTGCAAGTCCCTCTGGAGCCACTGGCATTTCTGATGTTTTCTAGCCGGGCACTTCTGCCTCCCTAGACCCATTTCCCAGTCCACCCTGCAACCTGGCTCCCTGCCTGGTGTTATCACATCACCTTCACTCCCCCAGCTACCTGGCTCCTGGTCCCGGTCTTGCCGGCTACTGGAGTCACTACTATGATGAGGCTCAGTGAGTCCAGAAGTGCCAGGCAGGCTGGGGTCACCTCCCCCAGGAGAGGGCAGCCCCAGGGTCCTGTTGCCAAGTAGAGGAGGTAGGAATGCAGCCTCTCAGATATTCCTAGGTGCACCAGTTTCCCAAGGAAACTGACAACAGATCAAAATTTCAGGGAGGCCAGGTACTCCTAGACTGGAAAAACAACTTAGGTTCTGGGAGCGGGGAGAGGTGGGGCGGGGGGCGGGGGGAATTGCCGAAGGAAAAGTACTCAGTCTGCTACAGCTTCGAATCCTTTGAAGAAGTCCCTCAGTCCTTAGGATGGGAGCACACATACACATACATGTCAACACAGCACACCAGTCTCAGCTGCTGGTTTCTGTCCTCTTGGTCGATTGGTGAGCAGCTGAAGGCTGAGATCAGAGTGCAGCCCAGTCTGAGGAGAGGAGGGAACTCCGGCAGCATGTGAAGACTAACATTAGCTCCTGGATTACTGGGCTGGGCACCCACTCTCCGCAGCAGCCTCTTGGATGATCCAGGTAGGGTCAGTCTAGAATGTCTTACACAGGGTCTCCACCTCTCCCAGTCCTTGGGCAGGGAGGGGTCCCTGCTGTACCAGACATCTGGGTCTGCTCCACCTATGCTCCTCTGGTTCAACGTTTCATCTGACTAGTCACGGAGGTCCTTGTTACAGTAGCACCTGTCCTAGGTCTTTCACAGACAAGCTGCCCATGACCCTCACGCCCTAGCATCTAGCACCCGCTTACCTACCGAGTGACCACGAATCCCAGGCAAGATGAGCAGGAAGCTGGTGGCCAAGGCCAAGAACACCAGAATGACGATGAGCAATGGCACGCTGAAGCCGGGGGCATGCCGGGGCTGGGGGTAGAAAGGCAGCTGGCCATTCCACAGAGTCATGCTGCAACTGGGCCAAGCTGGGTCCGCTGGAGAGGGAAAAGTGCAAACCTGGCAACCAAGCCTGGGGTCGCACTTCTCTTTACCCTGTTCCCTGCGTTCTTGGACAGGACTTAAGGGGCTGGTCAAGTCTGAGCTCCTCAACTCGCCCCTAAGGAAGCACAGCGGCTGGCTGCCTGCCTTCAAGTGCTCTGGGTTGGCCCAGGCAGGGTTGGGTAGGCAGGAGAGAGGAATTATTTCTCACTGGCAATAGCCAGTTACTTTCGAGGCTCTGTGGTTTGCTCTGTGTTTGAAAGTGGTACAAGACCTGGAGCCCTTTTATAGCAGCCTGGGCAGCTTGCTGGGCGGATGGCAGGGCTTGGCAGCTGGGTGCAGCTCTCCGAGATCTTGCAAATAAGAGGCGGAAGCTACTATGCAAATGAGGGAGCCCAGCCTTCACAGTAAGAGGGCGAGCCTCCCATCCAGATGTGGTCACTTGGCGCTGTTCTGACCTGAGTGGACACCAGGGAGGCTGGCCTTAAAGGATCCGGAGAAGAAGGTAAGGGTGTTGCTGGGGTTGGGCGGAAGGATCTTCAGAGCTGGGAGGGGTGGGGGGTATAGGTATTGCTGTGTTGGGAAGATGGAGCCTGGGAGGAGGGCAGAGAAGCAAAGATTCCAAGAAGAAAGACTTCTGACTTCAGCCAGAAGCTGTAAACCAGAGGTTGGAGGGAGTTTGGGGCCTGATCTTTCCAACCCTCCTATCCATGCACAGGTATTCATCGTAGAGTAGGAGGAGCTGCAGGTCCCGGTTCCCAGCTCACTAACCGCTTTCCCTTCCCTGCCTCCTCTATGAGAAGCAGTTACTGAGGGCTTGGGGATGGAGATTGGAGGTTGGGAGTTGGGGGGTAGGGGAAGGCTGCCAGGCTGGATGTAAATTTCTGCTTGGAACTGAAAAACCCCAGAGGACTGGTGGCCCTGGGGCAGGGGTGGGGGGCATCCTTTAGCCAGTGTTAGTTCTTCCAGCAGGTGGAAAACAGGGACCAGTGTCAGTGCCTACCAGGTGTACTGAAAAGAATGGCATGTGGATGCGGGTTCTTGGTGATGCTTCTAAAAGCTTTGCTCCAGAAACGAAAACAGCAGGCACCTTCCTATGTGGGCTGTAGGCATGGGGGACACCAGCTCCTTGTCTGTCACTTTTCAGCCCCCAGGCGGCAGGGTCAGCATGCTCTGCCCAAGGCCAGAGGCAGTAATGCTCCTGGGAGCTCTGCTGATTGCATCCCTGGATCCAGCGGGTAAGTGTCCGGTGCCCCTAGCTTCGGGATGTCACCCTGCACCTCCTGAGGGTGGGGGGAAGAAACAGATGGAGGCAAGCTACAAGATCGGTCAAATCGCAGCGCCGCTCCGCGGGATGGGAAATTTCCCAGCGCAGCCTCAAGGAGGCTCAGGTGTTGCCTCTTGGGTAGAGTTGGGGGCGCTCCGTGAGCGGGAGCAGTCTTAGGGAGGGAAGCGCTGAGGGGACCGCTCTCTGACCCGCAGGCGGCCAGGACTCATTCCCACTGTCCTGGGAAGTGCAGCGCTATGACGGCTGGTTCAACAACCTGAGGCATCACGAGCGTGGCGCAGCCGGTGCGTCCTGTGGTCTGGGTAGGGGTTAGAGAGATGACTAGTGGAGGGCCCGGCCGCGGGAGACCACGCGTGGAGAAGCGGAGACAGCGCGCACCCCCCCCATCTCCCCGCCCCCGCGGCTGTCTGCGTAGCGAACTCCTAGGCACTCCTGGGGCCAGGAGACCCCCGCGAAGAGGGTCCTGCGGGTGAGGATGGGGATTTGAAGTAGGCGTAGGGAGAAGTCCGTGGGCTTGTAGAGGACAGGGGTGCCTGACAGCCCAGCTTCCTGCTTCCCACAGGCTCCCGACTGCAGCGCCTCGTGCCAGCCAATTACGCGGACGGCGTTTACCAGGCTCTGGGGGAGCCGCTGCTGCCCAACCCGCGCCGACTCAGCGACGCCGCCATGCGGGGCGCAGCCGGGCAGCCATCCCGCCGCAACCGCACGGTGCTGGGGGTCTTCTTTGGTGAGAGCAAAGTGGGAAGACGCCGGGGGTGAGCAGTCACTTAGCTCAGCGCCGGGGGAGAGTGGCCCTGCGGCCCGTCAGCAAAAGCCCGAGAGACGGACTGCAGACTCCCAGGCACCTCCTCCGCCTCAAGCAACTCTTCCAGCCCTTCTTTATCTCGAGGGATTTGGGAGTGTCGAACACTTCTAGCCCTGCTTTATCTCGAGGGATTTGGAAGTGTTGAGTCAGGGATACTTGCTTCTCTAATCTTTCTCTTAACCCCTTACTCCAAACCTAGGAGTGTCATTGGACCTCCATTATAGCTCTAGGACTTGAGTCCCCTGCCACCACTCTCCTATACGTACGATTATATCCTCTTTCCTCCGAAGTGAAAGGAGGAGGCAAGATCTGTTGGAAGACGGGAATTGATTCGGGGGAGCCCTTATATTAATTATATTATTTTGATTCTTACAACAACGTTATGAGGTGGCTGGAGAGGGTACTATATCCCCACTTTGAAAATTAGAAAAAAAGACCCGGAGCTGGTGGCCGAGCTTGCACTCCAACATGCCTTTTGAGTCTTGAGAAACCTAGAGAAACTCCGAGCCCATGGTGAGTGGCGATTCTCATCAGTTTGCCCTGGCCGCAGGCTACCACGTGCTCTCGGACCTGGTGAGCGTGGAGACCCCCGGCTGCCCAGCCGAGTTCCTCAACATCCACATCCCGCCCGGCGACCCGGTGTTCGACCCCGACCGGCGCGGGGACGTGGTCCTCCCCTTCCAGAGGAGCCGCTGGGACCCCGAGACCGGACGGAGTCCCAGTAATCCCCGCGACCTGGTAAGACTAGGCGGCCGGGCTCGCGGGGTCGCGGCCCGACAGGGCGGGGCGGGGCTCCCACCTCCTCTCCCACCGACACCCGCTTCCGCTCCCCGACCCCCGGCTAACCCTGGCGGCTCACCGTTGCGGTGCTCCCGCAGACCAACGACGTGACGGGCTGGCTGGACGGCAGCGCCATCTATGGCTCCTCGCACTC